ATTAGCCAGGCATGATGGTGTGTACCTGTAGTCCCAGCTGTTAGGAGGCTGAAGTGGTAGAATTGCTTGAGCCCAGGAGATTGAAGCTGCAGTGAGCCGTGTTTATACCACAGCACTCCAGCCTGGGTGACAGAGTGAAACAAGAAGAAGAAGAAAGAAGAAAGAAGAAGAAGGAGAAGGAGAGAAAGAAGAAGAGGAAGAGGAGAAGGAGGAGGAGGAGGAAAAGGAGGGGGAGAAAGAAGAAGAAAGGAGGAGAAGAAAAAAGAAGAAGATGAAGAAGAGGAGGAGGAGGAAGAGAAAGAGGAAGAAGAGGACAGGTGAATATAACTAAGCATTTCATTTTCCTAGCTATAGCAATTGGTTAGGAGTAGTCATGTGACTTGCACAGCTACAGCAATTGGTTACGGGTAGTCATGTGACTTGGGCTAGGCCAGGATTTTGCTAGCAATGCCGAGAAAAAGCTATTCTACTTTTAATAACTATTCTCACTGTTTATCAAAAATAAACATGTAGCGAGGTTGTTCCTCATAACACCTTGACACCACATGAGAACGAAAGCAACACCATGGAAAGCAGAGTGGAGAAATGGAAAGAAACAAGGTTCTTTGTAATACTTCCAAATTACCAGATCAGGATTTCCCCAAAGCCGTATCTAACTCTGGATTTTTCAGTTAGGTAAGCCAATAAATTGCCTTTTTTCTCCTTATTAAATAAGGTTGAATGAGCTTTCCTGTGTTTAAACAGAAAGAATCTCAATGGAAACAAACAACCTCCCCTTGTTGATATTAGAGAGATCTGATGATATGTATCCTTTGGGTAGGCAATAGGCCACACAAGCTATAGCTGCATTGGTGTGTGGCTTCTTAAAAGGAGGGATATGATATAATCACAAGCCAAATGACTGGAGTCAAAGCCAACACCTGAGCAGAGGAGAAATGGTATTCCAACCGAGGGATCATAGAACCGCTGTCTTTGGATCAAGAACACTTAAACTGAATTCTGGGAAAGCCAGAGGTCTCACCAGAAGCTAATGTACCCCAAAGTCTCACATGACAACCACCAGTCCTTATGCTAAAGCTTCTCCAGTCACAGTAATTGTCAGAAGGTTCCGCAAGAAGGGTTAATGGGAAATTCATTCCCCGAAGTCTGGCATGTTTGCATGGTTTGTCTGTGGTTCTTATATATGAGGGTCCAGTTTGGCTGAATGTAGAATAATTGGATCACTTTTTCTTTTCCAGATTATCTTTAACATATTTTCTCCAGTATCTCCTGGCTTAAAGCATTGCTCTCAGGGCCTGATGCCAATCTGATTTCTTTTCCTTATAAACAACTTTGTCTTTTTGCCTAGATGCCCCAAAAGACTTTTTTTCTTTATAGTGCAGTTATGTTACTAGAATATGCATTGATGTTGTCCTTTTGGATTGATTTTCCCAGTACACAGTGGGATTTGGTTTTTGTTTTCAGAGGCTCCTATTATATAAAGGAGTTATATATGTATATGTATTATATATGTGGACCTATCTAGATCGATATAATATACATTATGTATGTCACATATATATTATATAATGAATCATCACATATTTGTGGTTCTCCTTTGCCTGTCTTGCATTCTATCACTTCTCAAATATTTTCTTATCTTCTTTGTTATTTCTGTGTTTTTCTTCTTCCTTTCCAATTTCTATACAGTGCTTTCTGCAGTGTTTATTCACTCTTATATTTCTTCCAGTTTGACCTTCCTTTCCTAGATTTTTTTGCTTTTATTTCTATTTCTTTTCTGAGTAACCAGTTCCCTTTCATATCTTTCTGTTGTCTAATTATGTAACCTGTGTTGTTTTTTTAATTTGCATTCGTCCTGTTCTTTCATAACTTTTAATCATGTTCTTAACTTCTTTTAGCTCATTTGAAATATTCGGTTGCAGTTTCTCCTCTGCTTTGTGGGCATATTTTTCTCGTTTGTCCTTACTGTTTTCCAGCTGGAGCCTGGGAAGCCCCCTCCACTTTAAGTGACTGTGCTACATCGACAGCAAGCCCTCCACTCCTGGGGGACTGTCCCCTTCTTGCGAAGAATATTGAGAGAAGTATCTGGGTCCCCACCCCTGGGATCCCCAGAAGCCTGTCTGTCTGCCAGCTGCTTCCTCCTGCAGACTTCCTTGTTACTGTCAGTGGTTTGGCCCTAACTGCTCATATTTTTGAGTTTATAGATATATACTCTAATCCTTAGTTTTATGAAAGATGCTGCTTATGGACTGTGTGCTCTGTCAATTTACATTATTGCTCTATCTGTTTTTATGAGGTGATATAAGAGGCTTAAAATTATACCACAGAGCAAGATCCATGAAAGAAAAAATATAGTAAATTGGATTTTATTAACATTAAAAACTTCTCCTTTCAAAATAAGCTGTAGGAAGAATAAAAACACAAACCACAGATGAGGAGAGAATATTTTCAAACATAAATGTGATAAGGGACTTACATCCAAAATATACAGAGAACATTGAAAACTCAACATTAAGGAAAAAAAACACCCAATTAACGAATGGACAAAAGATCTGAACAGACACCTCACCAAAGAAGATGCTTGCCATCATCTGTCACTAGGGAATTACTAATTAAAACACACCTAGTAGAAGGGCTAAAATCTAAAAAACTGACAATGTTAATTGCTGGCAAGGATGCAGACTAAAACTCATTCACAACTGCAAAAACAAAAAACTTAGGAATACATTATTTCATTCAAACATTTCTTCAGCAAATGTTTACTGAGCAACACTATGTCCCACTCACTGGGGGGAAATCTTTCACTGCTTACAAGCTACTAAATGGTTAGACTTGGATTTGAACTGAGACTCTCTGACTCCAGAACCTGTGCCTTAACACATCGTATCAGAAAATATGATGGAAATAAATCAAATGAGATGCTGTTTTCCTGGGTGGAAAACCAGTACTAAAAAAATGCTAAGTCTCTCTTAAATTACCCTATATACTAATTGCTATCAATACATTGGCACAACTTTTTAAACTTGTGAAACAATTCTCAAATTCATATAGAGGAATAAATTCCAGCCACTGGCTAATAAAACTGTGAAGAGTTACAAGTATTTTGCTCTGCCAGTTGTGACAATAATACTTCAAAGATACAAGTATCAAAATAGTATGCTTTGAGCAGAGAGAGCAATGAAAAGATAAAATCTAAAACTGACCCAATTTTTACACATATTGATACATATATATAAAGTGATATATGTGATTTATTATATAATAAAATATCATTTTATATCAGTGAGGAAGAAATGGATAATTCAATAATGATATTGAGGTAACTGGTTAACTATATGGAGAAAAATTAAGTCAGGTCTATGCATCATGACATATACCCAAACTACTTCCAGTAGATTAAAATTTTAAATGAGAAAAAAAAATCCCATGAGAATATTGAAAAACAATTTAAGTGAACATTTCCAGCATTCAAGGGCCCAGAAGGCTTTTGTTAAAAATAACATCAAAGACATAAACCCAGAAAAGATTGTTAGGTTTTTACTAAGAAAAACATATTAAAAAGCATAATAAATATTTAAATACAAAACTAACTGAGAAAAAATATTAGTAACATATGACAGTAAAGGGATTGGCATCCTTATTAGAGTTTTTTGAACCTCTTAAGACAATAATAAAACAGACAAACATTCCGATTAAAAAGGGTCAAGAAAAGGACAAGCAATACTCAAAACAAATACACAAATGGGCTGTAAAACCAGGCAGCAATGCTCAGGCTCTCTGGCAATCCAAAAATGCAAATCAAAATAACCAGATTCCACTTTTGACTCATCAAATTCCAAAGATTTTACAGTGAATTTCACAGTGATGATGAGGGTCTGGGGCCATTAGTATTTTCATACCCTGCTAGAGGGAGAGGAACACTGACTCTGGATCCCTTAACACCCAACATACGCCTTCCTGAGCCTTGGTAACTGAAACAGTTAGAACCTTAACATGTGTTTGAGTCTTTCAATTGCTGTCCCCTTTCCTCTGTTTATACGTCTGCCATGATATTTACCACACAATAATTTTATCACCATAACCATAAACTGTTGGGGGCAGGAGGACCCTAGGAGACAGATGCCAACTCCATCCAACCACAGTCAGAGAACCAGTAAGTGATCAGCTGTGACAAGATGCATCCCAGCACCAAACACTCAAATCCATCTGCGCAACCAACACTCACAGATATTTGGTGAGTGGGTGTTTAATTTAATACATCATTAAAAAGCTGAAAAAGCTCTTGGTAAATGGAAGATTACTTTGCTCCTTAGCACAAAATGCAGGCTGCTGGAGAACTAAAGCTGCCAATGTTGCTAAGTGGTAAATGGTTTTTAATATAAGACCAGATTGGAATTCATTTTCCACACGTGGAACTAGGGGTAATAATATTTACCCCTTGGAGAGGGCAGATGCCAAATCTGTATTACTCACGGATGTATCCTGGCACGGCAGGCAGTTGATAAGTGATAGATATTATGATGATAATCTCTCATTCATTCTTTTGGAAACTCCTTACTGAGCCCCACAGTGATAAGGAAATGAAATAGGTGCCTTACATTTGTTATATAACTTAATAAGCTGGGTCATCACAGCATAAGCTGTTTAGCTTGAAACAAAATGTAGTCCAGAACATTTGACTTGCTTACATGAAAACACAAACGTCAACTTCTAGATTATCTAACTTTACCCACCCTCTTCCCACAAGATCACAGGAAATAAAAAATTGCTTTAAGTCCTCATTCGTATTACAAAATGCTGTTCCAGACACTGGCCTCATAGTAAAGGACAGTTTTCCAAAATTTTGAGAAAGGAAAGGCTCCCAAGGAATATCTTGTCCAACCCTTTCATTTTACCTATTGCCAAATAAGGCCTAAATTGTATGTGATGTGTCCAGGGTCACACATAAGTGAGAGGTCACAATGGGATAAAATAGAGGTCTCCAGGCTGCCAGGCCAGTGACACTTTCATCCTGCCCCATTCTTTCCTCCTGGTAACCACCAAAATGCTTTCTCTTCAAAAACAGCAGCACGAAATATCACATTTTCAAGCCTTACAAAGATGAGATGTGGGAATTGATTTACTTCTGGTCAGCTTTATTCCCAGCATCTAACTCATGAGTCTGCCTAAAATTTAAGGTAAGAGCCTGTAAATATATACCATGTGCTTAAGAGAACAGCATATAAACCACAAAAGTTAAAAGCCTTTACTAGCAATTCTAGAAGAGATTATTAATTACCTTCAAAGGAAGCAGCTAATCATGAGTTTAAAAATCTCAAATGCCTTATGTTATCATTTCCCTCTTCACCTTATGTTTCAAAACCTTTTGAAGAATCTGATATAATATACCCAGGCATAAAAGAGGACAAACTAATTATGCAGTCCTGAACCCACTCCACTAGAGCACACTTCTCTCAGTGTGGACGTGTCCATTAGCCACAAGCAAGATGTCAGTGGCAATGTAAAAATCCAGAGATAAAAAGAGAAGTGAAGAAAGCGGGGGAAAAAGAAGAAAAGAGGTGACATTCATATGTGGTTGTGGCTGCATAAATCAAGGACAATTTTCTACAAATGAGAAGAATCTTCTTGGACTGCTGAGAAGTCTTACTAAAGCTGGGATGTAGATCTGGGTACATGAGTAACAAAAAAAAAAAAAAGAGAGGGGCAGCAAGATTTAACAGGAAAAAAATCGAGCAGCATAGACGTAGATTTTGCCCTAACTCATATATTACCTCGCTGTGTGGTCAGGGATAAATCACACCATCTCTATGGATATCAGTTTTGTAAAACAAGAGAGTTAAACACAGCGATTGTCAAACTTAATACCCAAACGACAAAGGATGGTGAAGGCTGGGTGTGCAGGCTGCTATAAGTCTCAGATTTCTCTGGTCTTGTGTCTCCTATCTAAATAGATTTCATAGAGATTCTACTTTCAGGGTCTGTGTGACCCCGGACAATTTATTTATTCTCTCTGAACCTTAGTTTTCTTGGGCCGACTCTCCTATAAGAATAACCAGAGAAATTGGAAAGAATTTTTAAAAATCTATTTGAAAGTGTCAGATAGATACCAGTGCAGTGAGACTTTGTCAGACCAAGATCTGTGAGAGAAAGGAAAAAATAAACAGAGACCTAGGGATCTGTGGGCAATATCAAAAGACCTAACATATTAGCAATTGAAGTCCCAGGTGGAGAAAAGTAAAAGAAGAGGAGATAAAAGTATTTGGGAAAAAATAGATGGGAAATGTCCAAATTTGCTGAATGGCATATATTTACAGATTTAAGAAGTCAACAAAGGACAGACAGGAAAAATACAAAGAAAACTATGTTTAGGCACATTGTAATTAATCTGCTGAAAGCCAAAGACAAAAGCGGCCCAAGAAAAACTACACAATACACACAGTGGGACAATGCTTCAGATGACTGCTAAATTTTCATGAGAAACTATGGAAACAGGAAACAGAGGAAAAACAGCTTTCAAGTTAAGACATTTCTGGACAAAGTAAAACTAAGGACAGTTCATTGCCCACAGATCTTCATTATAAGAAATGTGACAATAATTACTTCAGATTAAAGGAAATGATACCAGAAGGAAACATGACTGTTGAGGAGTGAATAAAGAGCATACTAGTAGTAAACATAAAAGGTTATTTTATCTGGGTTAACATAAAAGGATAACTGTAAAAACTAAAACAATAAGCCTTCTAAGAGATTATATAGGCAACTGTCTTCATGACTTTGGGGTAGGAAAAGATTTCTTGGACTAAGTGAAATTTCTATTCATCAAAAGACATAATTCATTTATTAGCCAAACTGAACACTCCTGAAAATGAAAGGGAGGAAAATTATTACTCTGGAAGTCTAGGCAGAAGCTGGGGCAGTGGGGCACACAGTGGAAATAGAGTGACACTCACTATCTATCTTAGGTAAGTACCCAATAGAAATGTGCCAATGAGCACCAAAAGATATGTACAAGAATGTTTACAGTAGCATTATTCATGATAGCTCCAAATAGAAACATCTCAAATGTCCATTAACATTGGAAGACTATATGTCAATGAAAATGTATTAAATACTGCAACACCCAACAAGATAGATTATTTCTGAAATGTAACATTAAGCAAAAGAAGCCAGACATAAAATAGTATATGCTATATTACTTCATTTTACTTAAGGTTCAAAAACAGGCAACATTACCCTATGGTTTTACAAGTCGGAATAGAAAGGGAGGGAGTTATGATTGAGAAAGGGGACAAGAGAGGCTTCTGAGGTACCGGTTCTATTGCTTAACCTGTGTGATAGTTATGAATGTGTTGACTTTCTGATAATTCATCAACTTGTATACTTAGGACTTTTAAACTTTTGTTTGCATATTATTCTTCAATTAAAAAGTTTATGAAAAGGAAATCTAACCTAAATGTAATATGCAAAACTATAAAACTCCTAGAAGATAGCATAGGGGAAATCTAAATGATCTTGAGTTTGGCAATGACTTTTTAGGTAAGATACCAAAGGCATGACCATGAAAGAAATAATTGATAAACTAGACTTAATTTAAAGTTAAAATTTTCTGCTCTGCAAAAGATACTGTCAAGAGAATGAGAAGACATCACAGACAGGAAGAAAATATTTGCAAAATGTATTTTGATAAATGACTGTTACCCAAAATGCACAAAGAACTCTTAAAACTCAATCATTAGGAAATGAACAACCTATTAATAAATGGGTAAAAGATATGAACAGACACCTCACCAAAGAAGATACATAGATGTCAAATAAGCATACGAAAAGATGCTCTGCATCATATTATTAGGGAAATGCAAATTAAAACAACAATGATATACCAGTACACACCTATTATAATGGAAAAATTGCAAGCACTGACACCACTAAATGCTGGCAAGGATGTGGAGCAACAGGAACTCTAATTCATTGTCAGTGAAAATGCAAAATGTAGTCACTTTGGAAGACTTGGTTTCCTACAAAACTAAACATGCTCTTGCCATATAATCCAGCAATTGCATTCCTTGATATTTACTCAGATGAGCTGAAAATTTATGTCCACACAAAACCTGCACACAGATGTTTACAGCAGCTTTATTCATAACTGCCCAAGCTTGGAGAAACTAAGTTGTCTCTCAGTAGGTGACTGGGATAACTCAACTGTGGTACATTCTAATGATGGAATATTATTCAGCACTAAAAAGAAATAGTTTGTCAACCCATGAAGAGACACAGAGGAACCTTAAATGCATATTATTAAGTGAAAGGTGTCAAGTCAATCTGAAAAGGCCACATACTATATGAGTCCAACCATATAACATTCAGGAAAAGGCAACACTGTGGAGATATTAAAAAGATCAGTGGTTGTCAGGAATTAGGGGGAAGGGAGGGATGAATAGGTGGAACACAGAGGATGTTTAGGGCAGTGAAACTTTACTGGATGATACTACAGTGGTGTATATTTGTCATTATACATTTGTCAAACTCCCCAGAATGTACATCAAGAGTGAACCCTTATGTAAACTATGGACTCTGGATGATTATGTTGTTGTCAGTGTTGGCTCATCAGTTGTAAGAAGTGTACCACTCTGGTGGGGGATGTTGATAGTGGAAGAGGCTGTGCATATGGCTGCGGGGGGTCAGGGGTGGGGCACGGTTGGGAATATATGGGAACTCTACTTTCTGCAAAATTATGCTGTGAATCTAAAACTGCTGTAAAAAACATTAAGTCTATTTTTTAAAAAAGAAATAACTTCAGTGCTTACTTACATAATGTAAAAAATGTAAAGCGATTTGTATCCTCATCAATAATATATCCATACTTTTATTATTAAAACATGTATATTACAGGGAATTTAATAAGATTGCTACTCTGGGAGAAAGTTCCTGGCTGCAGGCCCAGATTGGACAGGTCTGGGCCAGGCACCTCCCAGCAAAGGTAGCCCCAGGGAGCGCTCCCTGAGGTTAGCGTAGGGCTTAGGTTCTAATTCTCATAACATCCTTCTGCTTGACATTTTATGCTTCCATGGATGGGGATCCAGAGCAGCTTATCCGGGACAACTTCTGAGGCAGCACAGCTCTACCAGCCATGTCTGACTATTGCCTCAGGCCACCACAAAGAGTTCTAGATTTCACTTTCCTGAATCCGCCGGACACTGCTCCACCAGGGCTCACATTTGCTGTCGGAGGAAGGTGACTCACGGTCTAATAGTCTTTCCTCCACCTCCAGCTGCTGCAGGAGCCCAGCTGCTGCAGGCACTGCCTCCGAGCAGCAGATAGGAGGCTCTAGAGGGTACCAGGGCAGCCAGAAAAAAGGGAAGGCCTCCCCACAGCACAGGGGTGTGAGAACACCCTCCAGCGCTCTCATGTCTGACTTCCAGCCAGGAATGTTTAATGACGTATTATGACAGGATCAGCAAACAAATCCAAACTCAGCCAGTGTCTGCTGACTGCCAACTCCCTGCCTGTCCAAGGGGCAGCACAGTGTGGGGGCTGAGAGCCAGATTGCCTGGAAACTCAGGGTTATTCACACAGTCTGCTGCTTGGGTTCCTGAGCTGTACGTGTCCTGCTGGGAGAGAGCTGAAGCAGCTCATCCTGGCTGTCCCCTCTTGGGAAGGTGCATCCTGCAGGCTATCTGGGAAAGAAAAGAAGCTGGGACCACAGGGTCAGGCTGGAGCACTAGGGCTGCCATGAGGCTGGTCCCTGTGGGAAAGAGACGTGCTTAAAGCCCAAATCACAGGGTCTGCCTCTGTCCATAGGGCAGTTAGCGGGTAAGGACTCTGGCTCTCAAGTCAGGCTGAACAGAATTGCATGTGGCTTCCCCAAGCCACAGTACTTGTTGGGTTGATGTGAGTTTTAAACAGGAGAGTATATAAAGTCCTTAGCAGATAATCTGAAACACACATTACTAAGCATTAGCTGCTACCAGCACCCCCAGACTCTGAAAACCTCAGATCGCCCCCACAAATGATCCCATATACCGGGTAGTCCAGTTGAAGTGGAGTGGGGGTTGGAGTCATGCACAATAGAAGCAAAATTTACAGGGGGTGAAGTGATCATGATACAAATTCCCAACCATCATCGTAGTAGGCTGAGTAATACCCTCCAAAGAGATCCAGGTCCTGATCCCTGGAACTTATGCATGCCACCTTGCAGGGCAAAAAGGACTTTGCAGGTGTGATTGTGTTAAGAACCTTAAGGTGGAAAGATCATTTTGGATTATTGGGGTGGGAGGCCTACCTGTAATCAAAAGTGTTCTCATGACAGGGAGGTGAATGGAGATTTGGCAACAGAACAGGAAAAGGCAATGTGACAATGGAGGCAGAGACTGGGATAAGGTGGCCGTGGGCTGCAGAATGCTGGCAGCTACCAGAAGCTGGGAAGAGGCAAGAGTGAATTCTGCCCTAGAGCCTCCAGAAGGAGCCAGCTCTGCCAACACCTTGTTTTATCCCATAAGATTCATTTTGAATTTCTGGCCTCCGGAAGTACAAGAGAATAACGTTTTGTTGTTTTAAGTCATTAAATTTGTGGCAATTTGTTGCAGCAACAAGAGGAAACTAAAACATTGGATTAGAATCCTGGCCAACAGCTAGGCATCCAGACAACAGAATCTAGGCCTCGGGGAGGGACGCGGGAAGACCCTTTCAGTACCACAGCCACTAAACCAGTTAGTTTCAGGGATGAGCTCCAGCACCAGGCAAAACCAGAATGAAACTGGAGCTGAGGTAGAGGCCAAGTCACAAGGGTAGTGGTGTCATGAAGGGCAGCAGGGAACTGGCACTTCCACAGGCACTGTGGCCTGGGGCTTGTGCACACATTCCACAGAGCGAGTTTATGGCGGCAAGCACACCTCCAGCCCCTCAGCAGGTGGACCCGCACTCACACATGAAGTGCCCACCTCAGTCAGGGTGGGCTCTGGGCCGGCAGTCTGTGCGCTGGTGGTGGTCTGTGAACTGTTTTTTGTTTGTTTGTTTGTTTGTTTGTTTGTTCGTTTTTGAGACAGGAGTCTCTCTCTGTCACCCAGGCTGAAGTGCAGTGGTGTGATCTCGGCTCACTGCAACCTCCGCCTCCCTGGTTTAAGCGATTCTCCTGCCTCAGCCTCCTGAGTAGCTGGGATTACAGGCATGTGCCACCACGCCCAGCTAATTTTTTGTATTTTCAATAGAGATGGGGTTTCACCATGTTAGTCAGGCTGGTCTCAAACTCCTGACCTTGTGATCTGCCCGCCTTGGCCTCCCAAAGTGCTGGGATTACAGGCGTGAGCCACCACCCTTGGTCAGTCTGTGAACTGTTACCCAACAGTAAAGGGATTAGGAAAAAAATGGACAGTAAGTGCTTAGAAACTTCCAGCATTGCCAGGGCATTTTTGCCATGTTATTTTCTTGCTGTTGAATCTTCTAATAAAATACGATGCTTACATTTTGAATACCATTTTAAAAGCTATTTTCCAGAAATTTGTTTTCATCGTATTTTTTAAGGGCCTTGGTCCACAGTCAATTGGAAATTTAGAACGCACACACACTCTCCTGCAGGAGGACAGGGAGGAGACAGCAGCAGCGGCACAGGTGTGGTCTGACAGTCCTTCCAGGGGAGGGCTTGCACATGACTGCCTGAAGACAGAAGGCTCTGGGAGCTCTTCAGTGTCCTGGTTGGCCCCCGATCCCCTGCACTCTCACAGCCTTGGGAATGATCCTATCTGTCAGAAGATAAAGAGCCCAGGCACGGCACTCAAGTGCATGCCTTTCCTCATGACTACTTTCCTGCTTCATGAGGCATATTCCACTTTATTTGCACTTCGTCGATGCACACCAACCCAGAGCTGGGGTGTATGCTGGGTGGCAGGAGAAAGCTGGCCCAGGTGGGAGACACTGCTCCCTATAATCCAGAAATAGGAAAAGGCATGCAATGAAAAGATGATGACTATCCAGGCTGGACTACCTATATTGCTCAAGTGCAGCATAAGATAAGGATGCTGTGCCTCCTTCACCTCACTTATGTCCTTGGACAACCCCATGAGACTGAGATTGTCACTCTCACTTCACAGAAAACCCAAAGTTGGTTCAGAGAGGCACAAAGGTAGTACAGGTGGTACAGGAGGTAATTCAAGTGCAGGCTTTGGAAGTAAGACCTGTATTCAGATCCCACCTTTGTCACTAACCAGCTGGCTAACCTGGGAGTTATTCAATCTCTCTGGGCCTGAGTCTGCATATTTGTAAAATGTGGATACTAATCCCTACATCATAGGCTTCTTGTGATAATTAAAAGAAGCAACATCTAGAAAACACGTGACATGCAGCATATAACCTTAAGTCCTCAATAAGTGTTGACTTTTAAAAAAAGAGGGTTGAGGGGGAGGAAAGTAACAGTTAAAGGGTGAAGGAACCAGTGCTTTCTGGCTCTAAGGACAGTGCTGTTTCCAATGCTTATGGCATCACCACACAGATGACAGTTGGAAGCTGGGAACTACAGTAGCATTACAGACTCTAGTGGGACTAAAAGGACATACCATCTAGAACATCAAGAAGGCAAGATACAGCATAAAATGAAAGTAATTGACTTAAGAATAGCAACTCTTATTCAAGTCATGCCCACGTTTTGTAAATGTAATAAAAAACTATCCTGTTTACAATACAAATGATCAAAGAATTGGAAATTTGAAACTAAGCAAGTTTAATTTTTAGGTGGTAGCCCCACTAAATCTAAAATCCATTTTCTTATTTTTATTATCTATACACACTCATTAGAACATCACATAATCACCAGTATTTTGTGAAATGTGATATAAAGATGTAATTATAGGAGAAACAAAACAGTTTAAGAAAATAACAAGTGATTTCATAAGGTGGTGTATATTCACTTTGTTTCAGTAGTGTATAGTAATTAAAGCACTAAATCAAGCACTCTAACAACAGGAAGTAACATGAGTCTCAAAGTTTCCCCGTTGTATATTTCATACCCTGAAGGAACTAGTTAGAAATAGCAACTTAAACTAGTATTTGTCAAGAAAAAGATAAAACGTGTAAAAAATTGATTTTGTAGTATTTTCAGTGTTAGCATTAATATGCAAAACTAGCCACTCAAAAACTTGAAAAAAAAGTATCTCTCTTTGTGCTGGGCATGGTGGCTCATGCCTGTAATCCCAGCACTTTGGGAATCACGAGGTCAGGAGATCGAGACCATCCTGGCTAACACAGTGAAACCCCATCTCTACTAAAAAATACAAAAAACTAGCCGGCGCGGTGGCGGGCGCCTGTAGTCCCAGCTACTCAGGAGGCTGAGGCAGGAGAATGGCGTGAACCTGGGAGGCGGAGCTTGCAGTGAGCTGAGATCCGGCCACTGCACTTCGGCCTGGGCGACAGAGCAAGACTCCGTCTCAAAAAAAAAAAGTATCTCTCTTTAAAAAATAAAATGGAGTCTTGCTCTGAATCTCAAGTAGAATTCTTCAAAGACACTTGGCTCTACCATTTCCATCTCATGAGAACACGGTAGTTGAAAAACTAAAATGGATAGTCCTGAGCAAGGCTATCAGTAAGGCCGAAGGGATTTGTAATGACAACTTAGTATGACATCCCCTATTCCCTTTACTCAGAAGTCAGGTTCCTACCTACCAGAACCGAACAGGAGCATGGAATTGCAAGACAGCGGCTCTAGAGCACTGAACTTGGGAGACGTTTCTCTATAGAAGAGGTGGAGGTAAACTTGAACCTTAACTCAGCCAACTGTCATTACAATAAGGAAAAAATGAGAATTACAAAGACCCAGTGACGGTCCCAGGAAACGGCAGCTGAGAGTGGTAGGCAGAGGCAAAGACATAAGAGCATTTGGTGCCCAGGAAAACAGCTCTGATTAGCTCAACAACCTCCAAACCATCCCCTTCCAACCTTGGACAAAAGTGAAAGCTCACTAGGCTGGCTCTGACTCTGTGAAAGAGAGGCATACCTTCTATGTATATCTTATGCAAAGTTTATTTTGCAAATGAGGGAACTGTGAAATGTATTTCCAGAGTGGTTAAAATAATGTCTTTAAAGTTTTAGTGGTTGATGGAGTAAGTTTCACCTATGAAAAATTTGCTCACTGGGAAGTCTTTAGTGTCTTAACTGTGAATAAAAGAGACAGGAGAGAGCTGTGATGTGTGGGGAAACTACACTGATAAAATCTGAGCATCTCTGATCTCCCATTTCCTGTAAAATGAACAAAAGAGAAAGAAGAGAAATGGCAGGTAAAATGCAAGATATAATAAGAACTAGATCAAAAACAGGACACAGATTTTAAAAATATAGCTACTTAAAAGTAAGCCTACATTTTTTATATGAAGCAGAGAATATATGTTTTTCATGTCAAGAGGAACAAATCCAGAAGTAAAATCCCCACCAAATAAGCCTATGATATTTTGCAGTTTGATGTTGCCACTGTCAGAAGATGCCTTCTGAAGACAGTTAAAAGGGAAACACCAAAATAATAAGCACAAACCCAGAACCCAGAAAAGAGCTTCCTATGTGGAAGATGATTTGAAGTTTTGCATTCTGACAACCCCCGTCATAGATAATAGGTGTTTCCTAAAATCCTTTGCTAAAGGCCATCTGAGCACTAACGTATTACATTAATATAAATTTCATCTTAGAAAGATCGCTTTATAAAAAGAATATACGCAGGTGATTTTATGACAAGATAAGAAACATCCACAGTATTTAACTCTGTGGATGCAATTTTCCAAAAATCTCTTTCTGTGTTCTACCATATCACCCCTTGGAGAATCAAGGTTATATGTGAACAACTTAAGACCTTCACACGCTGTGGGAAAACTGGAATGTCAAGGTTCATGGTGAGAACAACCACCATGAAAGCAACTGTCTTATCCTGCTTTTGAACCGAGATCAGTGACCAGCACCCCTGTGTCTAGAGGCAGGAAGGGGCCATTGTTGGAGCAACTAGTCAGAGTTAGGATAAAGGAAGTGGCATCCCTCTGGGCTCAGAGAAAAACCAAAATGTAAATTTAAAAAATTCACTGTAAGGACACTTCACGGTGAGGACCACACCATATCAATACTAGAGCTTCTATTTGAGATGTGCTGTAATGTATTCAAGGAATAGTCTCTCCAGTATTTTATAATTTACTTATTTATATCCAATTACTTTATCATCCTTTACTTATTTATATCCTTTACTTATTTATATCCAATATTTACTTTTAAGTAAATATCAGCATCTGAAGCGCTAAGCATTAATTACCTGAAAATTCCACTACAATCACTATTACTGAGTCCAGCACTGTGACTTAGACACATTAGACACTCAATGTGTGTCTGATGCTGAACAGATAAATGAAGGCATGAACGAATGAGGAAAAGAAGAACTAATAAAGCTCTTTATTCATCTACCAGGTATTTATTGAGGACTCCACTGTGTGCCAAGGCAGAGGCCTGACTCAAAAAGTAAGCAAACAAACATAAGAATGACAGATTATGACAAGTGGCATGAAGAAAATAAATCAGATAATAGGAAGTGATTGGAGGGAGAAGACACT